TATAATTTTTTTTTTTAATTGATGATTTAATTTAGTGATCTGCTGTTACTCCCCGCCTAATTTACCTGGTAACAGTGGAACATGGAGTGTACCAGCACTTATTTTTTTTTCCCACTTAAAGCACTGGAGATAATGACACACAAATTGTCATAATTTGAATAACATCCTATACTGTATGCCACGCTTTCATTATATATATATATAATTTTTTTTTTTAATTGATGATTTAATTTAGTGATCTGCTGTTACTCCCCGCCTAATTTACCTGGTAACAGTGGAACATGGAGTGTACCAGCACTTATTTTTTTTTCCCACTTAAAGCACTGGAGATAATGACACACAAATTGTCATAATTTGAATAACATCCTATACTGTATGCCACGCTTTCACTTCACTCGTAACTTGTAATATTTGCTGCATTGTGCATCATCCATGTCATACGTTCATCATCTCCGCCTCCTCTTCTCAATGTTTCTCATTTCTCAAAAGACACCTCACCAGCAAAGTGAAACTCAATTTCATTTAATACGTTGACTTCCATCGACTTGTCATCCTTCAATACCTCGCCTCATATAACACACATGCGACTTCATGTGCAGCGCCTCCACTTTGATTTTTTTTTTTTTTTTTTTAAACACCAAACGCATTGTGCTTTACTTTCATCTCAGTCACCCTCACCCATCTTTCTTTTCATGGTGTCTATTCCAGGAGTTTCCAGAGAACCCAAGCAGCCCTGGTGTCACGCCTAATCATGCCCCCAGGTAGCACACCACCACCCCTTCGTTGCTATTAAGCGCTCCCACGCTGTCATTAAAGCATCTCATGCATCCTCATTCAACCCCCCCCACCTCCATGATGTCACACTCGTTATAAAATGTGGATCTTACTACTAGAAACAACATAAAAAATAAACAGAAGCAATTTCATTTACGACATTACATGCAATGCAAGGGTGTCCAACCTTTTTTGACTGAAGATCTACGTTTCAAGCAGCCAACCTCCTACGAGGTGCACACAGACCCATCCCCCTGTCCCCGGGCACACACACAAACACATGCACGACAGGATGAGCAACAGCCATAACGGACCCACACGTGAATGAAACTGAAAAATAAAGTGCACACAAGAGTTTGTGAGTTTGCGAAAAGGACACCTAGTGGGAGAACTTACACGGAGGCAGGGATGCACTTTTAAAACATGCAAGTGCAGAAACCTCACTATTGTAGCTCACGTGTACCATTTTAAAATGTTTCTCCTGGCGTTCCGGGAGATTCCCGTTCTTTGCCACTGCCATTGGTGAGTTGCAGATGAAAGAAACTTTGAATAAGAATAAACAAACAAACACAAAGCATAGAATAAAAAATAGATAGATCTCAACAGCTCTGCAATTGCAGACTGCTGACCGCTAATAACTTCCGGTGAGACTGGTCATCCGCTACCGTAGGTCAAAGGTGACCTCTTTTTTTTTTTTACCGGTAATTTTATTTTATTTTTTTATTTTTACATGTTTTTTGTGTGTGACTAAAACTGATAGGATGATTAGGGTGCAGTGTACACGAACACGAAAATATATAATATTAAGAACACGCTCAAAAATTCCCCCCACCCTACGATTTCCCCTACCCCCTCGCAGTTGACCTGGGACCAGTCCAATCAACTGGTTGGGCACGGCTGCTATAATAATTCCACTAACCCTCCACATGTGAATGGTAAAATATAATGGTATTTCATAAGAATTATTATAATTGTAAATTATTTTATGTATTTGTACTTTATGTATTATGTATGTACTACTCTAATCTATTTTTTAATAATTTCATATTATGTAGCATTTTATTAGTTTTTATCGTTATTAGAAAATACAAAAGAATTCCCTTTTTTCCTTGATGGGGAAGTCAACCTCAAAATTTTCTTTACAATATGTTTATGTGCCTTCACTTGTCTGATTGATATTGTGTTTGAGGACTATGAGTTAAGCAGCAAAATCCAACTGTTTTTCGCCATCCCAGGGGGGTGGCCATTTTGCCACTTGCTGTCAACTCAAAATGGCATCACACTTGCTCAGGGCTCAGGTAACAACCATCCACGTCTCACCTGTTTTCTGAAACTGAGCCGTTAGGCACTATGATGTCATTTTCAGTTGACAGCAAGTGGCAAAATGGCTGCACCCTGAGACGGACAAAAAAATGGCTGGATTTAACTGTTTAATTGATATTCCCAAAACACAATTTTAATCAGAATGCCATGTTTTGACTAGTGGTGCTGTAGGGAACATATTCTTGACAAGAACATTTTGGTTTTGTCTTCCCCTTTAAGCAAATTGCTTTTCAAATAAATCCCGCCAATTTTTTAACACACACCATAAAGGAAGTGAGAACTAAGGTTCTGAGCTAAATTTATTCCCATTCAAATGCACAAAAACACAACAGAATGCCAGACACTTGCCACCATGTTGAGATGATTGCATCGTCAACACACAAATTGCAGGGTTGAGGTATTATTATGCTTACTTGGCGGACTTGGGAAACCTCACGACATCTGTACTTCAATATTCCTCTTGTTTACTTTTTTTTTTTTGACCGCACCCTTTTTTGGGCAACAAACAAATTAAAGATGAGGTACAGTATTGATATACTTACTTGGGCAGCCTGGGGAACCTTATTCCATTTCTTGAGCACCAGTCAGTTTTACAAGAATTTACCAATCTTCAATATTAACAACAAAGCTCATTTATTTATTTATTCCTACAACAGCTCTTCTGTCATCTTTACATTCTTGATTCAGCAAATTAGTCTAAAGGCTATTAATTAATTGCTACCATATTAGCAATAAAAAATAGCTAAATTATAAAAAAGCCAGTCTACCCATAACGCTATAAAAGAAAAATTTAAAAAAAAGAAAAATTAGCCACCGTATACACTGCACCTCTTAATGTGGCGACCCAACATTGTTTTCCTGCCTCGTCATAGCGTGCAGTTGGGGGGAAAACACACACACACACACACACACACACACACACACACACACACACACACACACACACACACACACACACACACACACACATTGGTTGACGTACAGCAGCTAGCATGTGTGTTTTTACTCAAGGACAGTTTGCCTTTAATTCACTTGGGAAGCAGTCAGGGTGTGAATCTTCTCTTCGTCGGCTTTACGGCCGACTTGAGTCGGTTTGATTCGACACAAAGAATTTGTTTCCGCGAATAATGGTGCTTGCCCCTTGTGAAAACACATTACATAGTCATTCAAAGGTTGTATTACTTTCCCGTCGCACAGAGGTGTTTTTTTTAAATGCTGGAGCACAGATACCATCACTAGATGCATTACTTTGGGATGTTATCCACCATCTGAAAAGATTTCGTTGTCGGCGGGAAGCTTTGACAGTATGACTGGCAACAGCTCAACCCGCACAAAATGTTCATGGTGCATACCCTTTTTTCTCATTTAGTGACCATCGCTTTATTAACCATTTCATGCAGCCTGTAACCTGATAACATGATAAGGCGTCCACTGGAGTAATCGCTGTCCCTGAAAGGGTTAAATACACCACATGTCCCAATTCATGAGCTTGTGCGTCATTCAAAAATGGACGCAGTAAATTGGCGGTGACTCATCCAAATCGATACCATATACCAGTTAGTCCACGGGTGCATCATGGATGAACACGTTGGAGTGCCCTTATCCATATTAAAAAACAAACAACAAATGTGGTATTTTGATGGGAGGGAATGGAGTGGATTAATTGCATTTCTATTCATTTCAATGGGAAAAGAGGATTTGAGAACTGTCAGTTTTGAGTTACATGCTCGTATGACTTCAGAAATCTGAGAATATTTCCTGTGCATAGGCTAAAATTCCCAGGATTTGGACAATTTCATGTTAAAGGGGAACGAACATGAGCGAGAATGTGTTGTATGCGCCCCACTAATCTAAAAACCGAATTTTGATCAATTTTGCGTTTGTGGAATGAGAATAAAGCAGATTATTCGGTCAATTTTCATCCATCTCTGCGGGCCGTCATTTTGGCCAATGCTGCCCTCTGCTGTCGACTGAAATTGTCATCACCTTTGGACTCGCATTGCAAACATCACATGACCCCCCCCCCACTCCCCCAAAAAAGCAAAACAAAACAGTCGTGACAACATATTCTTGCTAAAAAACATTTATGTTTAGTTCCCCTTTAAACAATGTCTCTAAAAGCTGAACAGATGATCAAAATAGTTGTCAGTTCATTTGATAATCGATTAATTGTACATTAATCGATTAATTGCTGCATATCTATCCATAGATTAAAAATGAAGACTAAGATTGTGCTTTTCCTTTTCTCCCTCCTTTTCCCCTCATGTTTACCTGTGCTTCACATTCATCAACATCATCATCATCATCATCATTCCTTGGTTTGATCCCGTTGACTCAATCTTGCCACCTCCGCCAACCCCACTGCCTCCCGCCCACCACCCATTTCCCTCCCCATGTTTCCGCAGAGCACCTGTGACACACTCCGGAGTCACTCGGACAGTCTTGGATTCACGCCGAACATGTTACCTCGTCACCCGACTCTAGGCAACTTTGAGGAGTTTGCTTGTTGACAACCTAATGTTTGTGTTTTTTTTGAGGGAGGAGGGTGGGGGGACTTGACAGCAAACTGTGAAACAATTGGTATATTTATCAGAGAAAAACAAGGTTGAAATGTACAGTACTTTATCAATGCCTGAATAGAAATAGAATACTATCATCAGAAAAAACAACTTCCGAAACAGAACTCAGGTTTAAATGCAACATAATTTATTCATGTTTTTCAAAATGTCACTTTTCAGTCTCAATGTGTCCAAAAAGGAAGTGAAGATGCTACGTGACCAGGAAGAAAAACACGCGAGCTGCTATGTGTAGCACTGCACAGTCTGAAGCATCTTCTCCAGAGTTGAGTGTTGCCTTTCAGCTTGAATCCATCATGACGTCATTTATGCTAATAGGAAAGGGGGCGGGGGGAAGTGTGATCATTGACCTAGCGTCACACGTCTAGCTCATATCGCAATGTTTGTGTTGTTGTTCGGTCATACTGAGAAAGCTGAAAACATCTTTTGTTGCCTTTCTGGATAATGTCAATTGTGTCTTATCTCATTGCTATGAAGGAGTATTGGGACCACGCTGAAAGATAAAAATTGTTGAAATATGAGGACAACAGAGTGAAATTATTATTATTCGAATGGAGTTAAAATGCGACAATAAAGTCCTCGTTTCTTCCTGGGAAAAACAAAAATCTATATTTTGAGAATTGTCATAATTTTAGCGAATTTGAATGTTAAAATCGTACAAAATGTCAATGTAACAGCCTCACCTGAATCATTTTGTCATAATTTTTGTTAAAAATACTTCGGGTTTAGGTGATCAAACACACTTGTTATTTGTAGTTAAATTACATATTCTGACAACCTTATCGTTGTAACAATTTCCGGTACTCTGCTCATAATATTCCAACTTTTTCGAGTAATATTGCATTCCAGTGGTCCTTCGCTGTATTGCAGTTCACCTTTCGCAAACTTGCTATCTCGCGGATTTATTTTCCAGTGCAGTTTTGCATGCTGTTTTGTACAGCTAACAACCCGATTTGTGTCCTAAATGACTTCCTGTTTCTTATAGTGTACAACAGTGACTTTATGACGATAATCGATTCTCCCACTTTTACTAGTTTATCATAAAAGTGCATATTTTATAATATAACTTTCTTTTTGTGTGATTGTAACTAGCGTTCTTGCAGGTTCAGTCTCATAGGATTAGTTGTCATCAGACTATAAATGTATTCCTGCAAAAGGATGACTTTGTAATGCTATAGTATAAATATCGTCTTGCGAAAAACTCGTATGTCCATTTTTGTCATTTTGTAAACGTTTACATGAATGGCTGACATCACATTGAAAAGAATGTACTGTACCTCAGAATCTGCTCAAATCGTTTCAGCGGCATGGCATTTTTTAATCCCTAGAAACTGCTTCATTTTGCTATGTAATGGCTAGGTTTTCTTTTTTGCAGTGCAGAGAGGTTTGATTGGAGCACCATTTCATCGATCAGATCTTCGGGAAATAGATGCATGAAAAAATCTATTGGGTCTCTTCCCTCAATATTCACTTTCCACTGCCCCAAAGGAGGCATGCCTCCCTCAAACTCATTGTTTTTGCTTTTCCAGACGTGTCTGCTTTTTTGTGTTCTTGAGGTGGGACATACTCAGCTCTTTGAGTTTCTTCAGCATCCTCATCTTCCTCAAAATCCTCATTTTTATCAGCATCCTCAGCATCACTGTCACGACTGTTGCCATTTGCCAATTTCTCATTTTTTCTTGTAACCATTCATCATCGCTGTCGCTGACATCATCCTCACTTGAGTCAGATGGTATATGGTTGATTATCCTGTAGGCTTTGCAAGCATGCTCTGCACCTGACCGCTCCAAAACATAAGGATAACAATCCTTACTCTCATATGGGTTTTCTCCGGGTACTCCGGTTTCCTCCCACATTCCAAAAACATGCATGACAGGCTGATTGAACACTCCAAATTGTCCATAGGTGTGAGTGTGAGCGCGGATGGTTTGTTTATTTCTGTGTGCCCTGCGATTGGCTGGCAATCGGTTCAGGGTGTCCCCCGCCTACTGCCCGAAGACAGCTGGGATAGGCTGCAGCACCCTCCGCAACCTTAGTGAGGATAAAGCGGTTGGGAAAATGAATGAATGAATAAAAATGTAATTGATTTACAGCAACAAAAAAAAGTTACTGCAGCTGAATTATTTTCAAAAACAACAAAGTTGCCCCAATACTATAAATCGTAGTCAAAATGTAGCCAATAACGCACAGCGTCCAATTTAGTACACACATGATGAATGGCAGTTTCCTCAAATCACAAAACAATACTTGGATTTCTAACAATATTACTCCTGAGTTGTTGCTTGATATCCCAATTTTTTTATTTATTTTTTTATCTGTAAATGTCTGCCATCTTGTTTTCGGTTAAAAAAAATGGCTCACAGAAGCAGACCAGTGAATGGCAACACACATAAGGGTCCATTTTAGTGGCTGATGCACAACTGTGACATTTAAATGAATTAATATAGGAGAAAAAAAAACATTTGACTAGCTGTCCATTGTAGTAACCGCCGTCCGTCCCTGAAAGGGATAACGTAAAAATTAAAAACGAGACCAAAATGGCCGACTGGTTTTTCACAGGACAGCGCTGATATTGACACTCTACATGTCTTACAAAATACCAATCTAATAATATATTCCTGCAGGATTATGATAAATCATCCTGTAATACTGTGACTATTCTCAAATGTACACAATGAAACTTTTTCTTGTTTACGTACGACACATATTCTCGTAATTCTCTTGACCTGTTGCGCAATTGCTTTTCTTCTCAGCGTGGCCACCATACTTACTTCACATACCAATCAGCACAATGGTGTGCGATAGTAATCTATTGTCTGTAGAGGCTCCAGTCAAAATGGTGAACTGAAGCGTGTGTATATATAACCACAATCAAATGCCATGAAGAAATTCTTTACTGCTCGTTCGTGTCATGTACAAATTACAGGTATGTATAGATTTAGACAGACTGTTTTCCATGTGTCCTTCCACCACACGGATGTAGACCAGAAGTGTCTTGGTGATTAGCACTAACGTGACCGAGAATCATCAAGTGCCGCACACGTTCTGCTCCTTAACGACACAAACGCATTGTACAATTCCGCCCTCGTATCCCGTTGTTATTCTTCTTCGAAATATTCCTGAACATGTAACGAGTCACAAATGACCCTTTGTGATGTAACAATGATCAAGTATAATAAAGTGGATATTTACCCATCGTGTACTCGTCGCTGTGTTGGTCTCTTACTGTAATGTCTCCGATAATCTCAGCAATTGGTTCTTGATAGTCAACTGCTAGTTTGTAGCGTTAAAGTGGTGGTGGATAAATATGGTTTATCAAGAAAAACTATTTGAATCAATATTAATGGTCCACTGTGACACTACAAGAATAATATTGACCCGTTTATTAAAAATCAGCTGCAAGAATGTCGCTCTTTAAAACGCTTAACAACCAAAGTCATGTTAAAAAAGGGTCTGTTGGGGGCCGGGGGTGCGTGAAGATAAATACAACACGGGGGACACATACAAACAAAGTTATAAATTAGCTTTTCAGGCTATTATTTTCATGATACAATCGTGAAACAGGTGGCTGGACAGGAGCACGGGTTTATTTGCTTTTATTGCTTGACAGCAAATAATGTAAAATACGAGTGCTCGTCAAAAAATGTGAATATTGTGGAAAAAAGTTGATTCATTTCAGTAAGATTATTTAAAAAGTGAAATTTGTGTAATGCGTACATTCGTTCCACACTGATACATACAGTGTTCATTCATTTTAATTTAATTATTACATCTGAAAACTAATTTAAAAAACCCAAATTCACTATCTCAGAAAATTAGAATACTGTACTTTAGATGATACAAAGACAGGAGTTTTAGAAATGTCGGCCAACCGAAAAGTATAAACTTGAACAATATGTACATGTACAGCACTCAATACTTAGTTGGGGCTCCTTTTACCTGAACTACTGCAGCAATGCGACGACGTGGCATGGAGTCGATCGGTGTGTGGCACTGCTCAGGTGTTATGAGAGCCCAGGTTGCTCTGTGAGTGGTCTTCATCTCTTCTGCATTGCTGGGTTTGGCATATCGCATCTTCCTCTTCATTTTACCCCATAGATTTTCGATAGGGTTCAAGTCCGGCGAGTTTGCTGGCCAGTCAAGAACAGGAAAATGTTGGAAAATGAAATCTGCATCTCCATAAAACTGGTCAGAAGCACAAAGTACTCTCAAATATCCTGGTAGACGGCTGCATTAACCGTGGACTTCAGGAAACACAAAGGACCAACACCAGCAGATGACGCGGCACCCTAAAAAACATGACTGACTGTGGCAATTTGACAATGGCCTTCTTCAGAGAACATGGCTTTGGACCACTCACTCAGCAGCAGTCCAGTCTTTTTGTTTTTAGCCTAGGCCTAGTTTGTTGTTCAAAAGTGGATTGACACAAGGAATGCGGCAGTTGGAAACCATCTCTCGCATTTGATTTTCACCATATTAAAATTTTCTGAGATAGTGACTTTTTTCAGATATAATCATTTCAAGCACAGGTGTCAAAGTCAAAGCCCGGGGGCCAGATCTGGCCTGCCACATCATTTTATGTGGCCCACGAAAGCAAATCAAGCATGTCTAGTTCGGCGATGCTTGCTCAAATCTGAACCAAAATTTCAAAATTGCCATATGTAATCCACAATAACAGTCATTATTCGTGACTTCTGATTTTACAACTAGTTATCCATCAATTTGTTTTGCGCTGTGTATGTAATATGTGGAGGTGATTCAAGATTGATATGGTTTCCCAAAATTCTTAACAGCCCTCCAAGGGAAACCGTAATTACAGTGTGGCCCGTGACAAAAATGAGTTTGACACCCGTTTTAAATGAAAATGATTAAAACACTTGAAATGTATCAGTCTGTGTGGAATGAATGGATGCATTAAGTTTGACTTTTTGAATAGTATTACTAAAACATGACTGACTGTGGCAATTTGACAATGGCCTTCTTCAGAGAACATGGCTTTGGACCACTCACTCAGCAGCAGTCCAGTCTTTTTGTTTTTAGCCTAGGCCTAGTTTGTTGTTCAAAAGTGGATTGACACAAGGAATGCGGCA